AGAAGGTAATGGCAAACCACTTCTGCACATTCTACACTTGGAAAACCCTGGAATCACCGTAAATCAGAGTCAACCTCATGGCGTGTAGTTATTATTATTAATTTTACAAGGCTCCCAATTTTTATGTGAGCAAGGCATGGTGAGGAGATCATGCCTAAGCTCACACATTTCTTTCTTTTTTTAAAATCTAATTTTATGAGCCTTCCTCCTACTGCTATTATTTTTGCTACGACTAGAGGAAAAATACCAATGAACTGTTATCTCCCCGTAAAATTAGATTTATTAGCCACATAATTCAGAGAGAAGTGCTAACTGTGGTGTGTGCATGAACTTCAAGAATATCAACCGAATGAGGTGGAAGACTGTGATTAGAACAATATAATTTGCTGCAGTGAGAAGAGCATCATATTGTCAGTATATTACATCAGCAGCTCAGGGTTTTCTGCTGCAACCAGCTCAGTCTAGTCAGAAGTCTGACACCCGTCTGATCTCTCTAATTAGCCCTCCCTTTGCCATGCAGTTTTCACAAGACAGAGGAGCAATTTAGCATTTAAGATTAGGAAAGATGTTAACTGCTGTTAAGATACTAATTCATGCTATTGTTCTACACATCAACAGGACCTCTTATTTTGAAGACTTAGGAATGAGAGATAACTCTTAGTTAGCAAAGAATCCCATGTATTTAGAACTGAGAAAATACAATTTTGAATGTAGCATGGAAGTTTTTACAAACAATGGGCTTTTTAACATGATGGGTCTTTTTCAAAACAAGCATATGGGGATGGGAGGGTCACAGCATTAAAAAAACTTTATTTTTTGCATTTTTATTAATTGCCTTCAATTAACTCAAGGCATACATGCCTCTTCTTTACATTTTATCCTAACAGTAACCATGTGAGAGGTACATTAAGCAGAGGAAAGATGGTTAGCCCAAGGTCACACAGTGAGTTTCATCGCCAAGTGGCAGCCTGGATCCAGAGTCCCTGAATTCTAGTCTGATATGAACTCACTACAGTTTCCCAAACAATGCATATGTAATAATGAGTGAAGACCACGCCATTTACAGAAGGAGGAATAATAGTACACGATAACACTGTGAATCTTAGTCTTAGTTTGCCAGATTCTGGATTACAGCTCCCGGAATTGTTGACCATGGCCCATGCTGGCTGGGGCTTCTGTGAACAAAATAATATTTAGAATCATTGGCCAAAATTCTGTTGCTTAGAGTATTAAACTGGAATGGGCCCACTGAATTAATGGGGATTGGGTCAGTCAGCTCCTCTATATTTTAGATTAATTTAAATGGGCCTACTCTAACTGTTACGAACTTTAGCATAGTAAGTTAGAGTAGGCCTATTTGAATCACTGGAATTTAAAGAAAAGTTGACTGACCCAATTCCCACTGATTCAATGGCCCTATTCCAGTGTGATTTACTACCCTAAACAACAGGATTTTGGCCATTGTTATACTTTATTCTGAATAACATTTAGAATCCAGTGAGTCCAGACGCTTAATTTCCCTTCAGCTCCTGATCACCAAAATATCACTATAAAATCCAGTGTTGAATAAGGATGTTCTCATTCCTTTCATTAGTGCAGGTGCCAGCCACGAGACTACCAAGCAAAGTCTTTATTCTTCTGTTGACCCTTCAATAGCAGTAACACAGACAACCTTTCATGTAGCTTCCCAGTAAGCATGCTTCCATTCTATATGGGAGCCTAGGGTTTTCTGTGAGGAATTGACTGGCTCATTAACAATTTTGCAACTGTACTGATGGCACATGGTCATCTTAAATTTACAGCAGTATATTGCCAAGGAAAACCAAATCTTGGAATGTCTGGAGTTTCACAAAACACTATGGACACAATCCAGGTATCTGCGGGAGATATTTAAGCATCTTCCATGGAATTAATTGAATTAATATTTTGCAGTTCTGAATTTCTGGTAAAAATCTTTTTTGCTACACACAGCAGAAATCCAGAGAGGCAGGTAGTTACACGTTTTCCAGAGTATACCCCATTCTCCTTCAAGTCCCAATAACTCACTCCGAGACATTTATAGGAGAAAGAATAAAAAGTGTTTATTTACTTACAATTGCTTTAAATCACAGATGTGCATGCTGCTTTCTTTACTGCACCCACATTGATAATCAATTGAAGAGATCAGCAGCAAGCAAACAACTCCCTCCAACAGACTAAAAAGAGAAAAGAAACATTCAGCAGAGAGACGAAGTTCTATTTGATTTCAAAGACTGGAAGGAACAATTTGTTAGTGCCAGATAGACAATTACTCCAGCCCAAACTAATATATGATTCTGCTGATGGCATAAACTATTCCAAATGTGCATGCATTTGATAAGTAAGGCACTGTTATTTAAGAATGCTAGTGCCACAGGAAACATGATAGTTTATGATGTACTGTAATATCAAATTAACTGTGTTTTCTGCACAACCAAGGTAACACAACTACCCTGGTGGATTTGAAGAACACCACAATCTGACCACAAAGCCTTAGAGTCTAAAGCAATATGGGTTGTCCTCAATGCAGAAAGAAGTACTGTACCCTGTTTCCCTGAAAATAAGACCTAACCTGAAAATACACCCTAGTATGATTTTTCAAGATGCTTGTAATATAAGTTCTACCCAAAAAATAAGCCTCAGTTAAGTGAAACCTCTCCATCGTGCAGCAACCAGAAGAAGATGACATGGCTGTATTTGAATAAATGTAGATTGTTGTACATAAAAAAATCCCCTGAAAATAAGTTCTAATGCATTTTTGGAGCAAAAATTAATACAAGACCCTGTCCTACTTTTGGGGAACACAGTAAACTTAGCAAGATGCCTAAAAGATAACTGCCTACTTTTATTTTCAAAAATGTCAAGAAGTGTCAACTGAAAAAAATCAGAATTTTTTTTTCCTTTTTCCTTTTCTTCGTTTCTTTCTTTTCTATTCTATTCTCTCTCTCCCTCCCCCTCTGGTTACTTATCTATGGGTTTCATGTTAAAAGTTGCTAAACTTCTCTAAGTAGTCATATGCAGATCAGGAACTCCACCCTAGATTACTTGAAAGGGAAGAACAATTCACCCAATAAATCTTTGGAGAAGATCTTCAGAATTTAATCCCTGTGAATAGCTGCTCTGATTCAATTATGGTTACCAACTTTTAATCAGTAATCTGTCTCCTGCATTTGAGTCACAGTGCTTTTTTTTCTATTGTTTAGGTGGTAGGATTTATCTGGGCCATCTAGTTTGAAGGATGAGTTCACACACTTCCTGGTAGTAGGTCTCATGGAAATCAGTGGAACATAGAGTAAACAGAGTTGCACTATCAGGCTGTTGTTGCTATTATTGCTATTACTATTAAAGTTTCTTACCCAAAATCAAAACTTGGCAATACCAAGTGCTCTGGAAAACATACTGAACACTAATCAAAGCTTGAGTGCCTTGCAGTTTATGAAATTATGTACCCAGCTGGAAGAACAGTAACAGTGACTCAGAAATTATTTTAAATATATATTTAAGAGTAGGAATGACTACTGCAATTTAGCTGTTAGTGCAGCTACAGAGCCTGGAAAAACTACCTTTTTGGACCACAACTCCTAGAACTGAACATGTTAGCTGGGATATTCTGGGAGCTGTAGTTAAAAACAAAACAAAACAAACCACAAAGTTTCGAGGCTCTGTGCAAATACCACACAGACCAATCTTTTTCAGGTGCCATTGTTCAACAGAGTGGGATGAAATTACTTGCTGTGTAAAAATCAAAGCTGAAAAAAACCAAATTGAGATGTCCTCTGAGAGAATATTTTATGGCAAATAATGCATCTGACAAAGTGGACGGCAATACACAAAAGTTCATAGTATAATAAATCTCTCAATCCTAAAGGTGCCTAATATGGATTTTCAAGTATTTAACAAGGATAATGAGACAAATAATTGCATGTTACTTTATTCCTCAACTTTCTATAAAGTTAGCATAGTCTAAGAAACCAGCATAAAGGAACTATTTCTTCAAAGTATGTGCACAATCAGTTTCAAGTCAAGCATAAACACTTGATTACAGATTGAAAATAGCATTTTACTCCTAGCCAACCTCCTCCTGTAATAGTAGGAGGGGAAATTGCTGCCATGCGTTAATATGTTTTCTGTGGTTACTCTACCTCATCCAAGGACTGACAGCACATAAATCAGAAGCTGCCAAATCTCATTCAGCTGTTAAGCACCTCACTGAAGGCACCTGTCTCTTGACTCTGTGCTCTGCTCTAGACTGGCTCATGGTATCTGCCATCATCTTAAGGGCATATTCATTTTCATAGAAAAGAAGTCTCTCTGTTATAGGGGGAAATGTGCATTTTATTTCAAAGACATTTGTTTCTGCCGTACTCCATAAAACAGTCAACATAGTTCCCAATATTTCTTGAAAAACCAAACACAATTTTCATTGCCAACATGGGTCCAATGAGGCTACAACTTAAGAGTTCAGGTGTTGTTGTTCCCAGGAAGACTAGAGTTTAGTGGCCTTAAAAAATACAAAAACATGTGTACAAAGGAGTGGGGGAGGAGGATGGGGTCGTAATCTAAATAAACAGATGCATGTGTTTAACAGTCTTACATAATTTACTCAAAAGGCCTCCTGGGTTCTTTTGAGTCTTAGGTTAACACATTTACTATGACATTAATTCTTGAATTCAGTCGAATTTTCTTGCTAGCAAACTGCTTTGGCAGGGTCACTGTCACTTCCCAAAACCCTGGGGTAGATGCCAGGTCCCCCTCCTAACGTTAAATCATGTCTGTTTGAAAACAAACACACACAGGTGCTGGCTACTGTTGCTATCTCGTCGAGATTAGCGCGCGTCGCATTACACTGCAACCTTTAAAAAAAAACGCGCCTTCCTCTGTGTGTGTACCTGTTTTGTTACCATGTTGACCTCGCTGGCTCCAGTCCGCGTCAATCACGCCAGCTAATCCCTCCCCCTCTTCTCGATCGCGAAAGCCCCGCCCACCTTTCCCCAAAGAAACTTGAAAAGGCGGGCGAAGCTATTGAACCCGAAATATGCAGGGGAGGCCGACGAGGCATGGTCGGAATATCTTCTTCTTAGTTGTCTTTCCCGCTTCATTTCCGAAACTTTAGACTGCGTTCCGGTATTAAGGTTAGGAAAGGCGATCCCGACCGTCGGAAACAGGTCGAGGCTTTTTGTCAAGGGAGGGCTCATCTCGCCGGTGTCCCCCTCTGCGATCTGACCGAGCGAAGGACTTGGACGCGCCGGGCGCTCGCGTCACCCATTGTTTACAAACCAACCGCAGCCGCAACAACGGCGTTGAAGGACTCGGGAGTGGGGCGAGGAGGGAGGGAGAGAGAGGAGGCGGGCGCCTCATTGGTAGTTGCCGACGCCGTCGCTGCGGTAGCAGCCACGGGAGGAGCGAGCGCCGAGCCGAGTGGGGAAAGCGACCGGCCGGCTGCCATGCCTTGCCGGCGGCCGGGCAGCGAGCGTTTCTTGCTGCTGGAGCGCGCCGCCGTGTCTCTGCCGAGCGGGCCCGTCGTCGGGGCGAGCAGCGGTTCCAAAGAGGTGGACGCCTTGGTGGCCAAGCTGGGCGAGGTGCTGCAGCTGAACGCCCAGCACCGGGCACCGCCGCCTGCTGCTGCTGCTGCGGCCGCCGCCGCCGCCCCTTCCTTCCTCCTCCCTCCGAAGCATCACAGCCGGGACCGAGCGGCTCCCTACTCGTCCCCGAGGGGGCTCGGCTTCTTAGCCTCCCTCCACCGCCACCCTCCGCGACACGCGTCTCCCCACCCGTCGTTGGTGCTCCTGCCGCCGCCTCCCCCGTCGCCGCCCGTCACGGACCCGAAAGGAGGCAGCCCGCGGGTGGCCAAGCAGCTGTGCGGCCGGGGCTGGTTGCGGAGCGCCGCCCGGGCGGGGGGAGGAAAGAAGCGGCACCACTACCACCACCACCATCATCCTCCCCACCGCTTGCTGACGGCGGGCGACGACGAGGAAGAAGACGAGGACGACGACCCGCACCGGCTCCTGCAGCAGCTCATCCTCTCCGGCAACCTCATCAAGGAGGCCGTCCGGCGGTTGCAACTGGCGGCCACCACCGTGGCCGCGGCGTCGGAGACGTCGACCACGGGCTCCCCGGGCTCGGCCTCCTCCACCGGGAGCTGCTGCCACAGCAGCGGCGGCGAAGAAGGAGACTCGGTCCCCCCTGCCGCCTTCGCCGTCTCGCCTTTGCAAGCCTTGCCCTAACCCCGCCGAGACGCGGCCGGCGGCCCCCCCCCCCGTCACCGCCGCCGCCGCCCCCCCAGGAAGCCATGAGGAACCGGGGAGGGGGGGGAAAGAAAGCGAGGCTCCATCTCTCCTCTCCTGCCCTCTTCCTGCGCTCACAGACCGGCCGAGGCAGCTGCGGGAGGGGGGGCCGCAGACGGGAGGGCGACCGCAAATCCCCCCGAGACCGGATTATCAAGGCAGCGCCATCTATACTTGAAAGCAGGCCAGGCTGATGCTCTCGGGGCGAGGAGGACCCTGAACGATGATGGTTGCCGGCTGGTCCGTCACAGGCTGTTGAGGGGAAAAAAATCCTGGTGCTAGGCAGCCTCGAGTGGCTGCCCTCCAGCCCCGCTCTCGCTCGCCCATTAACCCCGCTAGTGACCCAGTCAGGATGACCCGAATCGACCGAGGGATTTGGCGGTCGTCTGGACTCGAGACGCGGAGGCCCCGTCTGCCGGGGAAGCGTCAGAAAGGGACCACCCTGCACCGCATTGTCTAGGTGGAGGACAAGAGTGTGTCAAGAGACGTCTCCTGCGCGCACCGATCTGTTACTTGGGAGGAGGGGGCGCGCGCGTGTGTGTCTGTATGTGTTTCAGTGAAGGCATGTCAATGTCGGGATTGCAACGGGCTGGAGATCGCCGGAGGCCGCGCACGACTGAATGAAACCCGCCCACAGAAATCGGTGGCACGAGCTGCGCCCTTCCCGGTTCCTTGCCAAGGTCACCCGCCGCCTCCCGCGCCCCGACCCACCCAGCCAGCAACCCGGCTTTATCATCTCCCATCCAGGCTCTGTTTTGTTCTCGTGCCTCCCCAGGCGGTTGGAAATCGTAATCCTATCCCTGCTTGTTTTGACTGGGCTGTGGGCGAAGCCGGTGTGTTTTGTAACGGCTGGGAGTCTCCTGAGGACGTGCACGTTGCCCGATCCAAGTTGTTGTGGTTTTTTTTTGCCTCCGTTCCCCCCCCTCCTTCCCCGCCATGCTTCACGGCCGCTTCTTTCCAAGAGTTCCTCCTGCCGCTACAAACGGGATTCTCAGAAAAAGGGTCAGATTACAGCTGCCTTTCTAAGAAATCTCCCTCCCACCCCCGCCGCTTGGGTTACTGTCCCTACTCCCCCCTGGCTAATTCTCTGGGGTTCTCTCCATGCAAAGACTATTACGTAGATTAGGTTGGTCTCTTCTGCACACTCCCTTCCTCATATTGACAGCCATTCCCTTTGCAAAGGAATCCTCCTCCGTAGAAGAAAAGGAGTAAAAATTTATCTCTGTTTCTGATTTGCCTCAGAATGATGCATCTGGAGACCCCCCCTTCCTTCCTCCCACTTCTTCATGTTGGGGTTTCCAAGCTGATCATTGCTTTATGCAAATCCTTGTTGGGGTCTATATGAAGCAATTTTAAAATGTGAATATTACAGCTGGTAAGCAACTGACTTCAGATGAAATGTAATGAAAGATTGAAGTGATAGAGGTACATTGTCTTCAGAAGGTAACTGAACAGGAGTTTAATAAAGCTACACACAAAAACCTCAATAGCTCAATCAGCAGACATAGCTGTTGACATATATATAAATATACACTTCGTAACGGAGTGTTGGAGTTGTGTTCCTGTTTTTCAGGGTTTGTCTTTAATATGTATGTATTGAATAAATGTGATAGACTTTTTTATGAATGAGAAATGGAGTCTCCTGTCGTCTTTGCTTTGGAGTGAGTTAGGATATGCATTTGATGTACATAACCAATTTTTCCCTACTGTGGACTAAATTCGTTTCTTAATCCCAATTACAGGAGATGCACTGAATGACTGTGACTGTTTAAGTCATAAACCTGTAAGTTCCTTTGACTCAGTGGGTGAACTCTAATGGGACTGACAATTGTTTTTAACCCCCAAGGTCCACAATTTCTGTTTTGTCCTGTGTTTGGAGTAAAAACAACCCATGTGGGATGATGCTGAGAGAACTGATCATAAATTCTGTTAAGGTGCAACTGGGTTCCTTTATTCCTTAGTGAACATTCTTCCAAAGCATAGAAACCTTCATGCATATTATAATATTTCTCTTGGAATCTTTCACCACTTAAATCTAGAATACAGTAATGAGGAAGTGTATAATGTACAATTTACAGCTCTGCCCCTTCCCTGGCACCTTCTTGTGGTGAGAGGGAAAGAATGACGTAGGATGCCTTTGTGGCAGGTCTTGACTTGATTACTGTTGAGATGTGATGATCTTGGATACCATCCAGGTTCACTGACATCAATAGAAGGATGCCCATTGTTTATGAGTCAGGAGTTGTCTCTGGATGCCAGGCAAAGCAACTATCTGCAGGACATTTGCTACCCTAGCCACCTGTTTTGGATTGCTAGGTGTCTGGATATAATTTTTTAAAAAAATCTGTGCTATTCCACCTCTTGCCTGTATGTCCCAGTTGCAACCAGATTCTGTACTTGGCGTCTATTCTGTTAAAGAGAAAATGGAGGGCATTAAATCAGGGCAATAAAAGCTCCAAATGCCAGATTCTCTGTTGCTCTGGTGTGTAGGGGTGAATAATGTCAAGATTGCGATCAAAACATTTTTAAGACAGTAAGAAATACTAGAGGAATAATTTTTTGCTTATAGGATTATTAGCAGACAAATTGTACCTGCTGCAAAAGCATGAGCCCCCCCCCCCAAGCTTGTAGAAAGAATGTAGAGGAAGATAATTGGTTGCTACTCAACAAATGAAGTAGTAATTTTAATTATCAAAAGCCATCACAAAAATGAATGCAGCTATGTTGGATATGGAACACAAATGCTGCTTCTTCATAGTCACAACAACCAAACATTTGGCTTTTCAGCTAGTAGCCTGGAGTACCTGGCCTAGTTTAGGAGTACAGATGGTGTGACTTTGTATTTGTTGTTGGACTCCAATTCCTATCAGTCCTGTCTAGGATATCCAATGCAGGATGATAGATGCTGTATTCCAGCAAATCCTTGCCACATTCCCCACGCTATCCTAGCCATGTAATCTTAAAATTCCTTTAATGGATGTTCATTAAACAGTAGCATTAGCTGGTCTTTTCCACTTCATTTTAAAAAATGGACAGGACTTTGATGTATCAATTGTATTTACTACAACTGTGAAAGTACTGTCTGTCCACGAAAAAAGTAAAACACTCCAGATTAATTTACACATATATATTTTCTGCCTGTTTACTGCTGGATTATACTCACCCTCACATCTGAAACAGGCAGAACAACTGTTCTCTGAACTGCGCTAAAAGGCTTCACCTGAAAGTAAATAACAGCACATTTTAAAAAGTGTGCTTTATTTTCTCAAAAAAGGAGGCAAGAGGTAAAACGGCTGGCAATAGTTAACATACTGAGCAAAGTTAAGTAAAACTTGGAGTGTTGCTTCTGTTTCAGCAGATAGCTGTTCTTTAGATCTACAGTTCTGTGGCATCAGGAAAAATATGGCATGAACAAGATGACCAAAGTATGAAGTTTATATGCATGATGGTTTTCCTCCACTAAGTACATGCTTGCTATATTGGACTATAATTCCCACCATTCCCACAGCTTAATAGCAGTGCTGGCTAGAAGTCATGGTAGATATTGTGTCAACACCTTTTGAACAGTATGTAGAATCAGAAATTGATTGCAAGCTCTATGGGAGGTGGGGATCAGGGTGCAAGGAGGGACATGCAAATAAGAAATGCAAATTGATTCACTTTCCTGCATTCCCTTTTTGCAGAGAAGCTTACTTCCAGCACCGAAAGTTTGCTGTAGATATAAAAAGTAGAGTGTGGGGGAGACAAAGTGGTTGCTACATTCCAGTGCCTTGATTTCTGTTATAAACGCTGCTTTCAGCGATCTTGAGACAGGTGAGGCAAATTTTGTTTGTCTTCAAACACATTTTCCATTACTTTTTATAATCTGAACTTGTATTCAAATATATTCCTGATGCATGCTATAGGAAAATTCATAATAAAAGCAGTCATAGGTATGTTGGCCATAAAATCAAATCCATTGGGATAATAATCTTTATCAGGCCAACTAAAAACAAGTAAAAATTCTTCCCATTTTCAAGATGTCACATCTATTCTTTTGACAAGATATTACAAAAGTATCCTGTAGGAAAAGTGGCAGAGAATCAATCAGAAGATTATGTAGACGGCAAGGTCTTAAGATCAAGCCTCTTCTTTCCTGCCACTTCCCTTTCTTTGTGTGACATTGTGCCTATAGAGATCTGTGGTATCAAATCTTTCACCTTTTTGGTTGGCGCAGTAAAAGGATTCTCTCTCTCAGGATTTTGGAATTCATCTAAAATAAAACTGAATAGCCCGCTACCTGATAGGGACTATCTTTAGCTTAAATTTGGCTTTTTGGTTGAATATAGAAAGGAAGCGTAAACATTACAAAGAGATATTGAGCAAACATCCAAGATAAATACAACTTTTTCAAATTCTTTTTTGAGCTCTATGTATTTGCACAAGACACAGCAGTTCAGAGACTGCTGTTCAAGCCAAAGATGGTAAAGGTAAAGTGAGTTGACAGGGAGCTAATGGTGGGGAGTCCCCTTCTGTACAGCTTGCCACCCCAAGCTGGCAGCATACTCAGCTACCTCTTCCAGGAGTCAACCAGCTACTAGAACTGCCAGCTGAATATGGTTCTTTCCCCTGGTCTTTCCATATGAAGGACTGGTATAGGAAGATTGAAGCCAGGGACATACAGTGGTGCCTCGCTTGATGAGGATAATTCGTTCGGTTGAAATTGCTGTTAAACAAAATCCTCGTCAAGCGAAATGAAAAAGCCCATTGAAATGCATCGAAAACCCTTCAATGCGTTCCAATGGGCTAAATACCTCGCCGTCCAGCAAAGATCCTCCATGGGGCAGCCATTTTCGGTGCCTGTAAAGCGAAGAATCCAACCTAAATCGCAGTGGGGAGCCATTTTGCACAGCGGGCGGCCATTGTAGAGCCGTCGATCAGCTGTTTTAAAATCATAGTTTAGCGAAAAATCGGTTCCTGAAGCAGGGAACCAATCATCGTTAAGCGATTAGAACATAGTTTTGCGATCGCAAAAGCGATTGCAAAAACTTCATCGTCAAGTGGTTTCGTAGTTTAACGTAATCGTTAAGCGAGGCACCACTGTAATTGTGGGAAGAAATGGGCCTATAACACCCAGATGGTGAACGGGGCTATCTGCCCTGCAAAGCTTCCCTGTTCTTGTTCTAGATTATAGTCTAAAGTACTGATTGTCGGATATTGTTTGCCTTCTCCAGCAAAGATTCTTTATGTTTCCACTATTATCACTTCACCGATCTAGCTCAATGTCACCTTTATGATGTCAGATTAAGGAATCATAGAATGGGCTGTGGGTGCCATCGATTCCAACCCCATGCAGGAATCTAGAGCTTAAACATCACTGATAGATGGTCAACTAGCATCTGCTTAGAAATCTCCATAAAGGAGAGAGTTCACTGTCTTCTGAGGTACTCCATTCCACTCTTGCAGTCAGGACATTCTGCCTAATGTTCTGTCAGAATCTCCTTTCTTGTAAATTGAATGTATTGGTTTGGGTTCTATAGTCTTGGAACATCAAAAAAACAAGCTTTTTCTGTCTTTTGTGCGACAACCCTTCAAACAGTCCAAGATGGCTATCAGATCACCTCTCAGTCTTCTCTTTGCCAGATTAAACATACAATTCCCTCAACTGTTTCTCATAGGGCTTAATTTCCAAGGAAATACTCAGGCATATCAGATGCATATAATTTGCCAAAGGTCAGAGAAATAGAGGCATTTGCTACATATAGAAAAATTTATTAAAATGGGGGGGGGAAATCTCAACTAGGAAGGGGAACTCAAAGTAGGCTACCTAAATTGTGACAAACACTTGTTTTCACAAGCACTTTAGTTTCTTGTGTAACACAGAGTTGCTTACTTTACTGATTAAGTTTCCTACAAGCTTTTGTGATTCATTCTGCAGTCCTAAGCACACTACCTTTGGCAGAACACATGGCCCATCAAACCTTGGACAACAACTCCCATCAGCCCTCGCCAGCATAACCGGTGATTAGCCAAGATGTGAGTCACAGTCCAACATCTGGAAGACCAGATGTTCCTTTAGCTGGTTGCATCACATCAGGTAATGACGTGATGAAACCTCCGAGAAAGTAGGTGTGAAAGTGTTCTGCGTTGAAGTGTTGAAAATCACATCCATCTAAATTTATTAAAACAATTGGGCAACTGTTTTTCTGCACTCTTAACATGGCAACAAAAAGCTCGAACCATTGTATCCAATAAGTGGATTTTAAAAAAAATGTTATCTGGTCTGTTCTCATTTGTGTTACTCCACTTTTTTTAACTTGTTTTCTAGGGCAGACTCTACAATGTCTGTTGAAAACGCCAGTGAGCCCCACTTAATTGGGTTATATGGGGCAAGAATTCTCATATGTGGATGTTTCAAAATGTCACTTTTCTGTCAGCACAACCAGCACCAGCATCTGATGGGCACTTCCATCTTTGATAATCCCCTGTACTTTGCCTTCTTGATTTACCGAAATACCTCATTGCCGCATCACTCGGGACCATTCTGGGCAATCAAAATGAGTTTTCAGTTATCCAGTTATGCTTTTTAGGAGCCCAGTGTAGGTATCAGTAGTGCCCCTGCTTGACCACAAAGCTGTCCTTGTGGCAGTCGGT